AAATAAATATATATAAAAAAAAAAGAAGACAGTGAGTCTAACGGTGACATTACAAATTGACTATAACATGAGAATTATGTGTTGAGAGGTTTCTGGGACAATTGGAGCTCTCCAGTCTTTGCAGATTCACCTTAAAGACTATGTTTAAAAAGAAAGAGCTGTAGAATAGGAGTCTTAATTGCCACTTTACCACTAACTAGTTGTATAAACCTGGGAAATGAAAGCTCTTAGCTTCAGTTATCCAGAAGCAATAATTACACCCTATTAGCAGGAATAAAGATAAACAGAATATCTAAGTCTATAGATTATTTTGTAACAATGTTGTCTATTAATGAGAATCTAGGTTATTAATTTGATTTCTGCCATGGGAATATATGTGCTCATATGTGCCCTGGATACCACCAGCTAGCAGGGTAGCTAAAATCAGGTCCTTGGGTTCCTATGACCCATTGTCAGAGCCCTGCTGCTCTAAAGCTATGCCCTTTCAAATTTTATACCAAGGTTGATTATATTATGAAAACCTATATTCCTCTTAAAATTTTAACATTATGAACTAATAATTGGCAAGAAAATATGGTAGCTTTCATCTTAGACTAACTTAAGGATATCAGTGAATGACATCATGCCTTTCTATGAGGCCCCCTGAGGACTTTCGTTACATTAAGATGTATTAAGTTCTTGTTTCTCTTCCCATCTAGGGCTGGGAATCTTCTGTCAAAAATAAATTAGATAGATAGATAATGATAGATAGAGGATAGATAGATAGATAGATGATAGATATAGATAGATAGATGATAGATAGATAGATGATAGATAGATAGATAGATAGATAGATAGATAGATAGATAGATAGATGATAGCTAGATAGAAGCAGAAAGAATGTAAATCCTTTGCTTCTCATTGGAATGTCATCCTAGTTCACATCACTCAGCCTATATGATTTTCTCCGAAGGCATGTGAGAAAGACTATAGCAATTCACTTCACTTGTGGTCTGGAGCAGAAGGATTTTAGAAAAGAGATATTTTTAGGATCTTAGTAAGGGCCCAGTTCTCTGAGATTCATATAATCCATTAATTCTTTTCCTATCAAAAGTGCTCAGTGATCCTGTTTACATAGCCATTTTACAAGCACCAGAATTATTAAAAACATTTTTTTAAAATACATGATTTTCATATTACCACATCATAAATAATGAAAAGGCTTTTTACAAAATAAAATATACATATATATTTTAATGAAAATACTTAGTTAAAAAAACTAGATTAAACTAAACCCTATAAACATTTAAAAACGCGTATGTATACGTATATCTTCAAATGTAAGTTTTATCAAAATTTTAAAGAAAATATGAGATAGTACTTTTTAATCAAGGATTGTGGGAGGTTCTTCTAAGTCTGACATAAATTTCAGGAACCTGGAAATAAAATATATGAAAATAACCAAATAAAATTAAAATAAAAATTCCACATAACCTTCCATAAAAATACATATATAGTGATATCACTACCCCAATAACTTAGAAAAGTATTTCAAAATTTAATTAATAAGTAAACATCTCCTACAAATAATTCTTAATGGATAACTTAAAGGA